CACGTACGGTACCCGATGAGCACCAAATAAGACCACTGCAGAAGCCAGCCGGTCCTGTTCCTGGTGTCCCATTCCATGTGCATACACCTCCACAACACAAACACACAACAGCTACCAGAAACCACGATCGCCTGACAAACAACCCTTAATCCCAAGCCGAACAAAACTCCAAGACCCTAATTCCCACCTCGCAAGTCAAAACCATGAGGATCCGCAATCCCAACCCCACCCTACCCGATTCACCTCTCAGTCCAAGGTGAAATCCATCGGCACGTTTTCACCACAAACAAATTATGAGCTGCGAGGCACGGTCCAGTACACTTAAGTAGATAGCTATAGGTATTACAAATACAAAGATCTTGCGGAGGGATTGGTGTGCAAGTTGTTAAAGTGAGACACATTTGGTGTCAACGTATGAATGAATGAATATTGTTTTTCACCTCATCAACAATTTTCCAGCTATCCGTGGCTAGAACCAGTTAATATCAACTGGTCAGGAGTCTACTTTAACAGCTGAATTAACCCAACATGGTATAAACATTTCTTGAACCGTTTTTAGACTGTATAAGGGAGCAAAGCGCAAGACTCTATAATCTCACATTACATCGAGTCCAGTCCTAGTGCGCAGGCCATATTTCACCCTGTGTATCCAACCTGGTGGCCTTAAGTACAGTTGTTTCTGAGTTGTATAAGTACTGTTATTCCATATCTATTATTCTGCCAGTGTATTTATAATGCATCTTTATTACCGTTGCATTAATTTGAATCCCAGTTAATTGATTAACTAAAGAGTACGCGGAGAGATTATTTACAATCGGGTCAAGTAACAAGAGAATGTGTGTTGGACAAATTAGACCCAGACCAAGGAAGCCCATCCAAGAATTCTGTGGTAAATATCAGTATAAATTACACATAATAAAACGATAAGTTCGTATTTCAGTTGACAATTCTTGCTTTGATCACTATACAATGACATTGTATTGTCTCGCAAACATTTCTCTTTGATCCTTACTGAAAATGAACACATTTTTGGTCTTTGTTGAAATGTCAATAGGGACTGTGGGGTAGCCGAGTGGTTCAAGCGTTCGCTCGTCACGCCGAAGACCCGTGTTCGATTCCCCACATGGGTACAATGTGTGAAATCCATTTCTGGTGTCCCCCGTCGTGATATTGCTGGAATATTATTAAAAGCGGATCAAAACTCTCGCACTTACTCAAGCGTCAATGATGGCCTCGTTACACCTTTCAACATGTTTTTCTTATCGTGTTAATAGCAAACGTCATTGTGTCTTACATTTTATGTCCCTAGTATGGTGATCTAACTTTAGTTGTTGGCAATGTATAGCCTGTTTTTATATTGCATTGTCTTCTATAGTTAAAAGGTTTTAGTTTTTCAAACTAGTTTTATATCTATATTTGTGATACTCTAGTTATTTTACTGTCCTTCGTTGACAGGGTTTTATAATTTGACTTTATTTATTACTGCTATACTTCTTATTCTAATTCTGAGTGGTTAGAGCGTCCGCCCGGAGAGCTTGTAATAGCGGCAGCAAACTACAGTTACACCAAACCCAAAGGGACCATTCATCTCAGTTCGTCATAACCGTACAGACCGCCTCCGTGATGTAGTAGGCAGAGCGTCCGCCCGGAGAGCGGAAGGCCGCGGGTTCGTCCCCGACCGCGTCATACCAAAAGACGTTAAAATATAGTACTTGTTGGTCCCTGCCTGGCGCTCGGCATTAATGGGTACATCAAGGACTGGTCGGCTCGGAGTCAGTATAATGTGTCGGAGTGGGGTATTCATGCTTAACTGCGGCATGGTATCTCAGTGGCTACTGCTAGCACTATAAAAGCAGCCTGGGCTAGTACAAGCAGCCACACATACACACGCATGCACGTCACGATATGGCTGTAATCCTCGTCACGATATGGCTGCAGTATTGCCGATGTGACGTTAAATTCACTCACTCACTTATATTCTATGTACATATTTCAATGCAGCATATTTTCGTTCTTCACATTTAAGTACTTATCAAATGTACAGTATGAAATTCATCGGGATACTAAATAAACAATGTCCCCAATTTAAATCGCACGGACGGACCGCGGAAGATAAAACGTATATGTCATGCCTAAGTCCGTGACATTGGATATGCACACCTTGTTTATTTGATCGTCGTGTTGAGATATTGAATCGAAACTAAATACCTGAACAAAGTAATGGAAAAGAAGAACTCACACGGATGTGGCTTTATGTGTAAGCTCTTTCATTAATCACTTTTTAATTAGTAAAACAGCATTAATGATTGTGGGGAACAATAGGAACAACGTCAGACATGCCACCATTTTGCAATACCGTAGCTGCCGGCACACGTTGTTATCGTTACTTCGATCCTTCCAGCGATATAGATGCCTTTGATCTCTTGTATGGGATACTTGACAATCCCGAAGGGACTTTATACCAAGTAATAGAAACGGCAGTTAGTATACTGATGATGATGACACCTGGCGACTGACATGACCTCAGAACACTGATGTCATGCTTGACTAAACGAGCAGTTAACTTCAGGCCGTATACATGTCGAAGTGTGTTCATAGCTGAACGGGGGCGGTAGGGTAGCCTTGTGGTTAAAGCGTTCGCTCGTCACGCCAAAGACCTGGGTTCGATTCCCCACATGGGTGCAATGTGTGAAGCCCATTTCTGGTGTCCCCGGCCGTGATATTGCTGGGATATTGCTAAAAGCGGCGTAAAACCAAACTCACTCACTCATTTCTGTCACATGACAAAACAGATAATATATAGACGAAAGAAAATAACTTACTTCAAATTTGTTTTTCACTGTTTGATAGTCCACACATTGTTTTCTTCTCGCGACCAGACATGTATATTTTTACTTTTGTATTCCACTGACCTGTCCAGTCCGTTGAACAAATGTATATGCTATCGTTAACTGAACACCTTTATATGTCGCGGGTTCGAACCCCGTCATACTAATAGATAAAATATGGCACATGTTGTTCCCTGCCTGGCGCTCGGCATTAATGGGTACAACAACGACTGGTCGGCTCGGAGTCAGCCTAATGTGTCTGAGTGGGGTATTCATGCTTAACTCAGTGCGGCATGGTATCTCAGTGGCTAGCACTATAAAAGCAGCCTGGGTTAGTACAAGCAGCCACACATACACACGCATGCACGTCGTCATATGAGCGAATTGTTCTTAAGTGCGACGTTAAACCCCATTTCACCTCAGTTAAAATTTAACTCAATATTTCAGCCATATAGTGATCAAAATTATACGTTGGATTAATGATACCGACAATTTATGAAGCAACGTTTTGGTATAGATGCGTACACCAAACTCTGTACACGAAAAAGTAGCTTAAAAAATCGTTATCCACGAATTGTATCTACTTTGCTCTTCATCAACTTATAGGAAATGCATATCAAACAATTGAACTGTTTGGTTCACACGTAAATAATTAAGATATTTTCGCGCGAACGAATGCATTGATGTACATAGTAGAAAAAAAAGCTTTCCCCTGGGTCTACAACAGATGTTATTGGAGCTGATGTGGAAGTGATCTCGAATACATCACTTCTTATCAGTTAATCAGTCACACGCAACTGCGAAGGGTTTGTTTTTACTCAGATAGAGCAAGATAAGGTGCGTTCTCACAGTGCGGCTTGTAGTAACAACTTGTAGCATGCAACACAGTTGCACCGTGGGAACACCCAAATCGTAACGATTTGAAATCGCATACAACTAGTAGTAGCCGTGTCGTTAGAGGCTGCATTTGTCGCAAGCTCGCGACCAATCAAATCGTTTAGATATTTGTCCACCTCAGTGTGACGTCCCTTTGGTTAGTGTTGACATCATGTCGGAGACACGACTGAAAACAATCCACTTTACTAAAGAAGAAACGATATGTAGACGGTCGACGTTACCGCTGACGTTTCTTCATTACTCGACGAACCATTTTGCTGAGTGTTACGTACGAATCTCGCGAGAAACAAGTTGTACGCGACATAACAAGTACATAAAGTACAAAGTCGTTACGACCTTAGTTATTTCTACAAGTCGCACCGTGAGAACGCACCTATAGTTTAACATAGACATACGACAGTCGAAGAGCTACAATCGCTTTGTGAAACGGGACCATGGGCAGTAGAGTGAGTGAGTGAGTTTGGTTTTACGCCGCTCTTAGCAATATTCCAGCAATATCACGGCGGGGGACACCAGAAATGAGCTTCACATAATGTACCCATGTGGGGATTCGAACCCGGGTCTTCGGCGTGACGAGCGAATGCTTTAACCACTAGGCTACCCCACCGCCCCCGCCGTAGAAGTTATGATCCCTCGTAACACTGAAATAATACCATAGGCTGACGAGTATAGCGAGTATAGTTTTACGCCGTTTTAGCAATATTCCAGCAATATCACCGCCGGAGACCCAGAAATGGGCTTCAAACATTGTACCCATGTGGTTAATCAGCGGACGCTTGAACCACTAGGCTACCCCACCGCCCTCGTGTCAAAAGACGGGATCGGGTGGTCAGGCTCGCTGGCTTGGTTGACACATGTCATAGGTTCCCAGTTGCGCAGATCGATGCTCATGCTGTTGATAACTGGATTGTCTGGTCCAGTCTCGATTATGCACAGACCGACGCCATATAGCTGGATTATTGCTGAGTGCGGCGCAAAACTAAACTCACTCACTCATGTCAAAAGAAAAGCTGACACCAGCTGAAAAGTACATGTAACGTCGTGTCTCGTGACATCTCCCACCCGTGAAGATGCGGGTTAGAATTGGTCTTCAGCAACCAATGCTTGTCGTAAGAGGCGACTAGGGTTGTCAGGTTCGTTGACTTGTATGAAATATGTCATCGCATCCCAAATACGTAAATCGATGTTCATGTTGTCAGTCACTGGACTATGCGACAGAAAAGTTGGACATCAAACAAAAAAACTCGAGACATTTGTCAGATGACAGTGAAGCGTGGAACACTAAACACCATTTTATATCATATCTCAGATATAACGCCACAGAATTATATTTGTTGCAATTATATAAAGCTCCAAATAAGGCAACTTCACTAAAATAAACAATTTTGTATCAGAAATATATATCTCGGCATATGCACTTTTCCCACCAAAAGGAACCTATCGGGTCATTATTGAATCACCTAAGAAAATAAATTGCTCACATATTTGTATGGCATATAATAGAACTTATTCTTTTAGAATGGTACAGTTAAGCTGAAAGTCGGGTGATATATGATATATACCCTATACAGCACAGTACAACTATGCAGTAACAACAGAGTTAGTATCCCTGCTCCTCGCAATCAGTGTATCACACAGAGTTGATAATTGGTAAAGGTGAATAAATCTTCTCGCTCTCATACGTCACGGTTACATAAAAAAAACCAAACAGTGCGTTACAGCTCCCACAAGCATTTTGTTTGTGTCCACATGATAACAGTAAACATAGTAAATATTTTTTCAGTATGGTCCACTTCTATTCTCAAGCTCCAAGCATAGATTATAAATTCCACTTTGAGTTAGGAGTTTACAGACAGTTATCCATGGTGTACATGGTCCAGTCATTCCTTGCCACAGAATACTGCGGCACGACCTCGTAGGTTAGCAGACAGTTGGATTCGGTCGACGCAGTTTTGCTGTAGCTGAAGTCGATGCATGAATGATTTCGGTGACAAAGGATGCCACATTCTCCTGCTGTTATGGCTGATGTAGTCATGGATGGTTTGGTCACCTTCCTCCCCGTCGTGGGCGTGTAGTAGGATCCTGGAGAGAAGATGAAATCGAAGGATTAAACTCAACCGTAGTTCTAATCATATCACTATGTTCAATATATTTATTTCCTTCATTGATATCTTGGAAAAATATTGCGACCAAAATGCTAGTTGCCCAGAAACATTACAGTTATTAGCAAAGAAGCTCAGCTGACATTGTAATAGGTCCGGGTTACAATCCAGTGATCAGTGTGTCAACAAAGTCCACATGCCTAACCACCCGATGAAGTTCGTCGCCTCTTATCACGAACATGGGTTGCTGAAGACCAATTCTAAGTCGGATCTTCACCGTGTTTAAGTCAACTATATGTATCACCTACAGTACTGTAGGATACTGTACTGCTACCAGATTATCACACTCAACATGTGATGATACATTTGACAAGGCAAATGGCCGATGGAGCTTCTATTGAAGCGTCATATTGTTACATTAGATATGGAACTGTCATTGAAAATCAGATACTACAGTATCCATCTACAAACAAAATACTCACGGTATCGCTTCGTAGCCCCGACACCTTGAACATCAATATGTCCGATATTCAAAAAGGTGTTGCTTGTGGATCGCCTTGTGACGCGGACAAAGCGAACAGGGAAGGTGGCATTGCAGGTGAAGGTGAACTCTTCCCCAGCAGCAACAGTGCTGGACACATTCCCACACCACTCCACCTGGGCGTCAGAGCAGAGGCTGACATCTTTGTCAATCACTTCCACGTAGGCATTACTCATGTAGGTCCCTGCAGCGTATAAATAGTTGAACAGAACATTTTTATTCTCTAAAAGCCCACCCACGGTGGTACATGAGAATATGATGATATACAGTTTAACATAAATATACAGTCAAGATCGCGGATACTAGAATAGTTTGATAAATTATTATTATCACAATTCGTTTACAATTTCAGGGCATTTGACAAGGCATTTAGAAATTTAGCGAGGTTTTTCAAATGTTTTGTTTTCTTTATTGAAAAGAGCCGTTTAAGTTTAAACAGATTAGGCCATTCATAGCAATAATTTGGGATGTACATCATCCGTTGTTGGAGAAGAGCTTCACATATAAAAAGGTAATGGAATTCGTCCCTAACAGACGGAGAATTGCAAAGTTTACAGAGGCTATTTTCTCTAAGAGTGTTGTACCAGCGTTCTGTTTCTATCGGTAAATTGTGATTTGATAACTTAAATCTAAGAATTGAACTATGTATAGATTTAGGAAGGAAGAGGTAGTTTTCAAAGCATGGATTGTCTTTAACATTTTGGTAAAATTTTCCTTTCGAACTAGACGCTAGTTCACATCGCCATTGTTGTAAATATTGGTCTTTGAGTATTGTTTCTACTTTTGAAACCAAAAATTCTGATGAACATAGGAAAGGTTAATCATAAATTCATGAGAGTCCACAATGATCTAAGATCTCTTTGATAAATATAAACCATTTCAATTTAGGCAAAGTGTTTGGAGAAGTAGATATAATGAAATTGAATAAAAGGGTCGATAATTTCGTTTTAAGTTTGTAGCTATTTTATGCCAGAATGTAATTAGTCTTTTATATATCCTAATATATAGCGGATATCGTCCTAATTCCCCATATAGCATGACATTGGGAGTTGAGTTTCGAAGACCACAAGCATATTTTAGAAATTTCAGATGAGTTTCTCTATTATCGATAGACATTCAAAACCCCATATTTCTGAATCATACATTAATATAGGGACGATCATAGTATCGAAAGCTGATATCAAACAATCTAAAGGTAGATTCAAGTTACGAGCTTTTTTCAACAGCGAAAGGTTTGCTTTGGTTGCATTTTCCACTAAACTTTTAATTGCTGTTACAAACCTTCCATTTCGATGGAGCTTGATACTAAGATAGGTATAGCTATCAACAATTTCAATAGGCTTGTCCCCATAACTAAAAATAATTTATTCTTTGCGTTTTAAGAGGGACCACTTCCAAAGACAACTATTTTGGTTTTAGACAGATTACCTTTCAACTTCCACTGAGCTTTACAACAACCTCTCTTGAAAGAGTGATCTCGGACTATCATTGTATATACTACTACAATAGTACACAATCGGCGTGGGGCGTGGTGGGCGAGCTGTATAAGGCACCAGGCTTGTGATTCAGTGAGCATGAGACCCGGGATCGAGCCCACCTGTGACCGGGTGTAAAATCCTTGGAGTCCGCTTTGTGTGCAAACTCTTTCAGTGTTGTCACAACCCCTTGTGTACAGTACCCCTTGTGTAACTCAGTTTGCCTAGTGGTTGCAAGAGTTGTATGATCCCCAAGGAATGGAGATTGATGATACAATGTTCTGTTTGGATTGACATCCAATGTTTGACATCTAATGATCGAGGTAAATTCAAGTTGAGCTTGATATTGGCGCTATACAAATGTTAGTATTATAATAATATTAACAATCGACTTTCGCACATTAAACAAGAAAGTCAATCAGTATTGGGTTTGTAACAAACATTATTTACCAATATTAAACCGAAAGGTGTACGGCCGCCTCCGTGGTGTAGTTGTTGGAGCGTCCGCCCGACCGCGTCATACCAAAAGGCGTTAAAATATGGTACTCGTTGGTCCCTGCCTGGCGCTCGACATTAATGGGTACAACAAGAACTTGTCGGCTCGGAGTCAGTATAATGTGTCTGAATGGGGTATTCATGCTTCACTGCGGCATGGTATCTCAGTGGGCTAGCACAATAATACCATCTTCAGTCTGGGCTAGTCCAGCAGCCACACATACACATACACACGCATGCACGTCGTCATATGAGCGAAATATTCTCAAGCATGACGTAAAACCCAATTTCACCTCATCTCACCTCACCGAAAGGTGTAACAATGACACAATGTATTAAAAAATCAGACATTGTAGCTCCTCCAGGATGACGGGTCATATAATAGTTCACTGTTGGTAATGTCATCTTTTGGTACGAAATGAAGGCATATATATGCATGTTTAAGGTGATTTGATCATATTTATGGTATTTGATATCAAAAAGGATACTTCAACATTATTACTATTTGAAAAATAAAATGATCACGTTTTGACGTTCCTTGTTTACATTCTGTGAGGTGTGTGTGTGTGATGTGTGATGAGTTATGCGTTATGCGTGATGTGTGATGTGTGATGTGCGATGTGCAATGTGTGATGGTTGCTGTGTAATGCGGAATGGGTGATGTGTGATGTGCGATGCGTGAAGCGTGATGTGTGATGTGCGATATGTGAAGCATGATGTGTAATGGGTGATGTGCGATGTGTGATGTGCGATGTGTGAAGCGTGATGTGTGATGGGCTATGTGTGATGTGCGATGTGTGATTTGTGATGTGCAATGTGCGATGTGCTATGTGTTAAGCGTGATGTGCGATGTGCGATGAGCTATGTGTGATGTGTGTTGGGCGTTGTGCGATGGGCGATGTGTGATGAGCGATGTGTGATGAACGATGTGTGATGTGCGATTTGTGAAGTGTGATGCGGAATGGGTGATGTGTGATGAGCGATGTCTGATGTGTGATATATGATGTGTGATGTGCGATGTGCGATGTGTGATGTGCTACGCGGAATGGGCGAACTGTGATGTGTGATGGGCGATGTGTGATGGGCGATGTGTTCTATGTTATATGTGATGTGCGATGTGCAATGTGTGATATTTGATGTGCGATGTGCGATAAGCCATGTGTGATGTGCGATATATGATATGCGATGTGCGATGTGGGATGTGTGCTGCATGATGCGTGAAGTGCGATGTTTGATGTGCGATATGTCATATAGGATGTGTGGTGTGTGATGAGGAATGTGTGACATGTGATGTGGGATGTGCGATTTGTGATATGTTATATGTGATGTGCGATGTGCAATGTGTGATATGTGATGTGCGATGTGGGATAAGCCATGTGTGATGAGCGATGTGTGATATCCGATGTGCGATGTGTAATGTGCGATGTGTGATGTGTGATGCGTGATGTGTGATGTGCGATTTGTGATATGTTATATGTGATATGCGATGTGCAATGTGTGATGTGCGATTTGTGATATGTTATATGTGATATGCGATGTGCAATGTGTGATGTGCGATGTGTGATGTGCGATTTGTGATATGTTATATGTGATATGCGATGTGCAATGTGTGATGTGCGATGTGTGATGTGCGATTTGTGATATGTTATATGTGATATGCGATGTGCAATGTGCGATGTGTGATGTGTGATGCGTGATGTGCGATGCGTGAAGCGTGATGTGTGATGTGTCATATGTGATGTGTGATGGGCGACGCGTCATGTGTGATGGGCGATGTGCGATATATGATATATGATGTGTGATGTGTGATGTACGATGCGAAATGGGCGATGTGTGATGTGGAATGAGCGATGTGTGATGCACGATGTGTGATGGTCGATGGGGGATGTGTAATGTGCGACGTGTGATGAGTGATGTGTAATGTGCGATGGGAGATGTGTGATGTATAATGTGCTATGTGTGATGTGTGATATAGGATGTGTGATGTGTAATGGGCGATGTGTGATGACCGATGGGTGATGCATAATGTGCGATGTGTGATGTGCGATGTGCGCTGTGCGATGTGTGATTTGTGATATGTTATATGTGATGTGCGATGTGCAATGTGTGATATATGACATGCGATGTGTGATGTGTGATGTGCGATAAGCCATGTGTGATGTGCGATGTGCGATGCGGAATGGGCGATGTGTGATGTGGAATGAGCGATATGTGATGCACGATGTGTGATGGTCGATGGGTGATGTGTAATGTGCGATGTGTGATGAGTGATGTGTAATGTGCGATGGGAGATGTGTGATGTGTGATGTATAATGTGCGAAGTGTGATGTGTGATATAGGATGTGTGATGTGTAATGGGCGATGTGTGATGTGCGATGTGCGATGTGCGATAGGTGATACACGATGCGCGATGTGCGATGTGTGATGTGCGATGTGCGATGTGCGATGTGTGATTTGTGATGCATGAAGCGTGATGTGTGACGTGTGAAGGGCGATGTGTGATGTGTGATATGTTATATGTGATGTGCGATGTGTGATGTGCGATGTATGATGTGTGATGTGCGATGTGTGATATGTGATGTGTGATGTGCGATATGCGATGTGTGATGTGCGATGCGGATTGTGCGATTTGTGATATGATATACTATACGTGATGTGCGATGTGTGATGTAATGTGTTTTGGTTGATGTGTGATGTTATTACGATGTGTGATGTGCGATGCCGAATGTGTGATGTGGAATGACGCGATGTGTGATGTGTGATGGTCGATAGAGGGATGTGTAATGTGCGATGCGTGAGAGTGATGTGTAATGTGCGATGGGAGATGTGTGATGTATAATGTGCTATGTGTGATGTGTGATATAGGATGTGTGATGTGTGATGGGCGACGCGTCATGTGTGATGGGCGATGTGCGATATATGATATATGATGTGTGATGTGTGATGTACGATGCGAAATAGGCGATGTGTGATGTGGAATGAGCGATGTGTGATGCACGATGTGTGATGGTCGATGGGGGATGTGTAATGTGCGACGTGTGATGAGTGATGTGTAATGTGCGATGGGAGATGTGTGATGTATAATGTGCTATGTGTGATGTGTGATATAGGATGTGTGATGTGTAATGGGCGATGTGTGATGACCGATGGGTGATGCACGATGTGCGATGTGCGATGTGTGATGTGCGATGTGCGCTGTGCGATGTGTGATTTGTGATATGTTATATGTGATGTGCGATGTGCAATGTGTGATATATGACATGCGATGTGTGATGTGTGATGTGCGATAAGCCATGTGTGATGTGCGATGTGCGATGCGGAATGGGCGATGTGTGATGTGGAATGAGCGATGTGTGATGTACGATGTGTGATGGTCGATGGGTGATGTGTAATGTGCGATGTGTGATGAGTGATGTGTAATGTACGATGGGAGATGTGTGATGTGTGATATAGGATGTGTGATGTGTAATGGGCGATGTGTGATGTGCGATGTGCGATGAGCGATAGGTGATACACGATGCGCGATAATACGATAATAATGATGTGCGATATGTGCGATATTACGATATTAATGTTATGTTGTGATGCATGAAGCGTGATATTGACGATGTGAAGAGGTAATGTGTGATATGTGTGATATATGATATGTGATGTGCGATGTGTGATATATTATATGTGATGTGTGATGTGTGATGTACGATGTACGATGTATGATGTGACGATACGATGTGTGATGTGTGATGTGTGTATGTGATGTGTGATATATGATGTGTGATGATGTGATACGCGATGTATACGATGTGTGATGTGATGTGCGATGCGGATTGCGCGATTTGTGATGTGTGATATGCTATACGTGATGTGCGATGTGGGATGTGTAATGGTTTTGGTTGATGTGTAATGTGTGATGTGTGATGTGTGTGCGATGTGTGATGTGCGATGCCGAATGGGCGATGTGTGATGTGCGATGTGTGATGTGTGATACGCGATGTGTGATGTGTGTGCGATGTGTGATATGTGATATGCGATGTGTGATGTGTGATGGTTGATGTGTGATGTGTGTGCGATGTGTGATGTGCGATGCGGAATGGGCGACGTGTGATGTGTGATGTGCGATGTGTGATGCGGAATGGACGGTGGGAGATGTGCAATGTGAGATGAGTGATGTGCGATGAGCGATTTGCGATGTATTATGTGTTATGTAAGATGTGTGATGTGCGATGTGTATTATGTTATGTGCGATGAGCGATGTGTGATGCGTGATGTGTGATGTGTGATGGCGATGTGTAATGTGTGATTTGCAACGTTCGATGTGCGATGTGAGATGCGGAATGGACAGTGGGAGATGTGCAATGTGAGATGAGTGATGTGCGATGAGCAATGTGCGATGTATTATGTGTTATGTATGATGCGTGATGTGCGATGTGTATTGTGTTATGTGCGGTGAGCGATGTGTTATGCGTGATGTGTGATGTGTGATGGCGATGTGTAATGTGTGATTTGCGATGTGCGATGTGTTATGTGTGATTTGTGATGTGCGATGAGCGATGTGTCATGTGGGATGAGCGATGTTTGATGTGCGATGAGCGATGCTGAATGGGCGATGTGTGATGTCTGATATACGATGTGTGATGTTTGATCTGTGGTATGTGATGTGCGTTGTGTGATATGTGATGTGCAATGTATGTTATGTTATGGGTGATGGGCGATGGGTGATAGGTGATGGATGATATATGTTGTGTGATATGTGATTTGCGATGCGATGTGTGATGCGTGATGCTAGATCTGTGGTGTGTGATGTGCGTTGTGTCATGTGTGATGTATGATGTGTTATTGGTGATGGTCGATGGATGATGTATGATGTGTGATATGCGATTTGCAATTTGTGATGTGTGATGCGTGATGATTTATCTGTGAAGTGCGATGTGTGATGGGTGGTGTGCGATGTGTGATGGGCGAGGGGTTATGGGTGATGGACGATGGGTGATGTGTGATGGGTGATTGGCTATGGGTGATCGGTGATATGTGATGGCCGATGGTCGATATGTGATGTGTGATGGACGATGTGTGATGTGTGATGGGCGATGGGTGATTGGCGATGTTTGATGTTTGATGTGTGATGGTGATGGGCGATGGACAAATGGCGATGTGTGATGCGTGGGATAATGGTGGTGTAGTCAAATATTTCAACAAAAAAACATAACAATTTTTCTTTAATAGTCCTGAATCTAAAGTGCTTTTGTTCAAAACTTGTTCAACTTCTTACTTATATATACCTTAATTAGTCTCTAACAAATATTTTATACTGCTGTAGAAGATAGTGACACTTCCGTTCCTGGTGAGATGTGTGATAGATGATGTGTGATGTGTGATTGTCGATGGGTGATGTGTGATTGATGATGTATGATGGGTGAGGGGTGATGTGTGATAGGCGGTGGGTGATGTGCGATGGGCGCTGGGTGATGTGTGATGGTTGATGTGTGATATGTGATGGGCGATGTGTGATGGGTGAGGGGTGATGTGTGATGGGCGGTGTTGGATAGGTGACGTGTGATGTTGAGATGTGTGATAGATGATGTGTGATGTGTGATTGTCGATGGGTGATGTGTGATTGATGATGTATGATGGGTGAGGGGTGATGTGTGATGGGCGGTGGGTGATGTGCGATGGGCGCTGGGTGATGTGTGATGGTTGATGTGTGATATGGGATGTGTTAAGTGTGATGGGTGGGGGGTGGGATGGTTGTGGTGTATGAGTGTGTTTGTAGTCAAATGTTACAACCAAAAACATGACAAATTTTCTTTCGATGTCCTGAATATAAAGTGCCTTTGTTCAAAACGTGTTCGACTCCTAAACGTTATCTACCCTTGATTAGTCTCTAACAAATAGTTCATACTGCTGTAAAGATAGTCACACTTCGGTTCCTTACCCCATCCATTGGTTGCGGCAGTGAGGGTGATGTTGCTGATATCAAAGTAACCTCTCAGGTCCACCTCCCACCAGCAAGGATTGGCAAGGTATGTAAACGACCCCGTGGTGGAGTATATAGCATTGAGGGCCCGGCTTGCAGGGTATCCTGGATAAGAATTACGCTGTTTGGCAAGTTTACCAAAAGCAATGCTTTCACCTACAAGGAGACACAGGAACAAAAGGATGATCAGATTCAAATTCGCAAATATGATGATCTTTCTGAAGTTATCTTATACAAAGTTGACTAAAGGGAATACGTGTATTTTTCATTTTCTTTGGTGCATTTTAAAAGTTGATACGCATAGTGAAGTCAAATTATTTTGATCAGTGAGAACTTCTCTTTTGCATTATGATGCGACGTTCGGGGCAGATCCATTCAGACTGTTTTCAAACATTTACTCACTCTTGTATGCCATCTTTTGAAATCTACCTATATGGCATGATTACACCACAGCATCAAAATGATAAGCAAGTACACTTTTTTGATGGCATTTGTTTAATATATTCAGTGGATCGGAAGACAAGTGACGCGACCAAAGTTGGCTCTATTCGGTTATGTTGACATTACTAGTCAAGCGCCCAATGTCAAGGCCCATATGCAGTCGGTAGTGATGTGCCGACCCTGCAGTCAAGCACTCACAGACATCAATGTCAATAGAAACAAAGAGGGTACGAACCCTTGGGGAAAAGTGGGCCACTTTCACTGTATGAAATATGTTAATTTGGAAATTATGGGTAATGGAAAAGTGCCCATGCGGGCAAGTATACGGGTTTTTTTCCTAACGTTTAGCTGTAGTGCCATTTCCAGGTGAAGATGAGTCTGATGTTGTCGATGACAATGTTGCTATGCTTTATGCAACCGTACCCCATAAATGTCGTGCCTGATGGGGGTTCAACCGGGTGTCAGTATGGCGTGTTGTGCAAAACGTTCACATTTGCACGAAAAAGCACAACAAGACGACAAGTGAAATGGTCTGGCTTGGGATGGTGGAAGTGACAAGCCCTGGGTTAGCAATGATTCCCGAGTCTTGTGATGAAATGGTCTGGCTGAGGATGGTGGAAGTGACAAGCCCTATGTTAGTAATGATTCCCGAGTCTTATGATGAAATGTTCAGGCCGAGGATGGTGGAAGTGACAAGCGTTGGGTTAATAATGATTCCCGAGTCGTGTGATGAAATGGTCTGGCTGAGGATGGTGGAAGTGACAAGCAAGCGTTGGGTTAGTAATGATTCCCGAGTCTTATGATGAAATGTTCAGGCTGAGGATGGTGGAAGTGACAAGCGTTGGGTTAGTAATGATTCTCGAGTCTTATGATGACATGTTCAGGCTGTGGATTGTGGAAGTGACAAGCGTTGGGTTATAAATGATTCTTGAGTCTTGTGCTGAAATGTTGATGATGAGGATGGTAGAAGTGACAAGCGTTGGGTTGAAATGATTCCCGGCTGTGTTGAAATGGTGGAAGTGACAAGCAAGCGTTGGGTTAGTAATGATTCCCGAGTCTTATGATGAAATGTTCAGGCTGAGGATGGTGGAAAGGACAAGCCCTGGGTTAGTAATGATTCCCGAGTCTTGTGAGGAAATGGTCCGGCTGAGGATGGTGGAAGTGACAAGCCCTGGGTTAGTAATGATTCCTGAGTCTTATGATGAAAAGTTCAGGCTGAGGATGGTGGAAGTGACAAGCGTTGGGTTAGTAATGATTCTCGAGTCTTGTGATGAAATGTTCAGGCTGAGGATTGTGGAAGTGACAGGCGTTGGATTATTAATGATTCTCGAGTATTGTGGTGAAATGGTCTGGCTGATGATGGTGGAAGTGACACGCACAGGGGTAGTAATGATTCCTTAGTCGTGTGATGATGAAATGGTCAGGCTGAGGATGGTGGAAGTGACAAGCCCTATGTTAGTAATGATTCCCGAGTCTTATGATGACATGTTCAGGCTGAGGATGGTGGAAGTGACAAGCCCTGGGTTAGTAATGATTCCCGAGTCTTGTGAGGAAATGGTCCGGCTGAGGATGGTGGAAGTGACAAGCCGTGGGTTAGTAATGATTCCTGAGTCTTATGATTAAAAGTTCAGGCTGAGGATGGTGGAAGTGACAAGCGTTGGGTTAGTAATGATTCTCGAGTCTTGTGATGAAATGTTCAGGCTGAGGATTGTGGAAGTGACAGGCGTTGGATTATTAATGATTCTCGAGTATTGTGGTGAAATGGTCTGGCTGATGATGGTGGAAGTGACACGCACAGGGGTAGTAATGATTCCTTAGTCGTGTGATGATGAAATGGTCAGGCTGAGGATGGTGGAAGTGACAAGCCCTGGGTTAGTAATGATTCCCGAGTCTTGTGATGAAATGGTCTGGCTGAAGATGGTGGAAGTGACAAGCGTTGGGTTAGTAATGATTCTCGAGTCCTGGGATGAACTGTTCAGGCTGAGGATTGTGGAAAAGACAAGCGTTGGGTTAGTAATGATTCTCGAGTCTTGTGGTGAAATGGTCCGGCTGAAGATTGTGGAAGTGACAAGTCCTGGGTTAGTAATGATTCCCGAGGCTTGTGATGAAATGGTCTGGCTGAAGATTGTGGAAGTGACAAGCCCTGGGTTAGTAATGATTCCCGAGTCTTGTGATGAAATGGTCCGGCTGAGGATTGTGGAAGTGACAAGCCCTTTGTTAGTAATGATTCCCGAGTCTTGTGAAAAAATGGTCAGGTTGAGCATGGTGGAAGTGACAAGTCCTGGGTTAGTAATGATTCCCGAGTCTTGTGTTGAAATGGTCTGGCTGAGGATGGTGGAAGTGACAAGCAAGCGTTGGGTTAGTAATGATTCCCGAGTCTTGTGTTGAAATGTTCAGGCTGAGGATTGTGGAAGTGACAAGCCCTGGGTTAGTAATGATTCCCGAGTCTTGTGATGAAATGGTCCGGCTGAGGATGGTGGAAGTGACAAGCGTTGGGTTAGTAATGATTCCCGAGTCTTGTGATGAAATGGTCCTTCTGAGGATTGTGGAAGTGACAAGCCCTGGGTTAGTAATGATCCCGAGTGTTGTGTTGAAATGTTCAGGCTGAGGATTGTGGAAGTGACAAGCCCTGGGTTAGTAATGATTCCCGAGTCTTGTGATGAAATGGTCCGGCTGAGGATGGTGGAAGTGACAAGCGTTGGGTTAGTAATGATTCCCGAGTCTTGTGATGAAATGGTCTTTCTGAGGATGGTGGAAGTGACAAGCCCTGGGTTAGTAGTGATCCCGAGTCTTGTGTTGAAATGTTCAGGCTGAGGACTGTGGAAGTGACAAGCGTTGGGTTAGTAATGATTCCCGAGTCTTATGATGAAATGGTCTTTCTGAGGATGGTGGAAGTGACAAGCGTTGGGTTATTAATGATTCCCGAGTCTTGTGATGAAATGGTCTGGCTGAGGATGGTGGAAGTGACAAGCGTTGGTTGAGTAATGATTCCCGAGTCTTGTGGTGAAATGGTCAGGTTGAGCATTGTGGAAGTGACAAGCCCTGGGTTAGTAATGATTCCCGAGTCTTGTGTTGAGATGGTCTGGCTGGAGATGGTGGAAGTGACAAGCGTTGGGTTAGTAATGATTCCCGAATATTGTGGTGAAATGGTCAGGTTGAGCATGGTGGAAGTGACACGTCCTGGGTAAGTAATGATTCCCGATTCTTGTGTTGAAATGGTCTGGCTGGAGATGGTGGAAGTGACAAGCGTTGGGTTAGTAATGATTCCCGAGGCTTGTGATGAAATGGTCTGGCTGAAGATTGTAGAAGTGGCAAGCCCTGGGTTAGTAATGATTCCCGAGTCTTGTGAAGAAATGGTCAGGTTGAGCATGGTGGAAGTGACACGTCCTGGGTAAGTAATGATTCCTGAGTCTTGTGTTGCAATGGTCTGGCTGAGGATGGTGGAAGTGACAAGCAAGCGTTGGGTTAGTAATGATTCCCGAGTCTTGTGTTAAAATGTCCAGGCTGAGGATTGTGGAAGTGACAAGCAAGCGTTGGGTTAGTAATGATTCCCGAGGCTTGTGATGAAATGGTCTGTCTGAGGATTGTGGAAGTGACAAGCGTTGGGTTAGTAATGATTCCCGAGTCTTGTGATGAAATGGTCCGGCTGAGGATGGTGGAAGTGACAAGCGTTGGGTTAGTAATGATTCCCGAGTCTTGTGATGAAATGGTCTTTCTGAGGATGGTGGAAGTGACAAGCCCTGGGTTAGTAATAATCCCGAGTCTTGTGTTGAAATGTTCAGGCTGAGGATTGTGGAAGTGACAAGCTTTGGGTAAGTAATGATTCCCGAGTCTTGTGTTGAAATGTTCAGGCTGAGGATTGTGGAAGTGACAAGCTTTGGGTAAGTAATGATTCCCGAGTCTTGTGTTGAAATGTTCAGGCTGAGGATTGTGGAAGTGACAAGCGTTGGGTTAGTAATGATTCCCGAGTCTTATGATGAAATGGTCTGGCTGAGGATGGTGGAAGTGACTAGCGTTGGGTTAGTAATGATTCCCGAGTGTTTTGTTGAAATGGTAAGGTTGAGGATGGTAGAAGTGACAAGCTCTTGGTTAGTAATGATTCCCGAGTCTTGTGTTGAAATGGTCCGTCTGAGGATGGTGGGGTAGTAATATTTCCTGTGTATCTTAAAGTTCTCTAGTATGAAAATGTTGCTTCAATTCCTGGCGGTGTGTAACCCGTTTTTAGATTAATGTTATCGCTGTTCGACACTTGTATTGTTCTGAACAAACAGCAAAATCTGTGGCAACATTCTGTATTTTTCATAGTAATTACCGTGGTGGAGGGTATAAACCAAACTTCAACTTCACATACTCTCTGATTAAATTGAATACTCATGCAATAATTAGATGGCAAATATAAACACGAAAAGAACGGAAAACTATTTTATGAAGACACATTGACTCATTATGTAGTTCTGATAACTATGATGCATGACGTCAACAAACGGGATCATTATTAGGAATTCCGGCAGACAATCGTAAAAATATCACATAAGTATCAATAACCGAACACAATGTCAATATCTGGTGTTACCACTACGATAACATTCCTGAACATCCTTCTTCTCTGACTGTATCAGATTTTGAATTTGACGTTGAGGTATTGCGTTCCGTTCTTGATAGAGGGTTGGTTCCAATATATCAATATTTTGTACTTGATGATCCCTCTGGTGTATTTTGTGATACATAATGTCTGAAACATGCCCTGTGGGATTGAGATCTGGACTCCTCGCTTGCCAAAGCAGAGTTTCTACTGCCTCTTGAAGTAAGAAATCACCAGTGAGTGAGTGAGTGAGTTTAGTTTTACACCACACTCAGCAATATTCCAGCTATATGACGTTAGTCTGTAAATAATGGAGTCTGACAATCCAGTGATCAACATCCTGAGCATCGATCTGCTCAATTGGGAACCGATGACATGTGTCAACCAAGTCAGCGAGCCTGTCCACCAGATCCCGTTAGTCGCCTCTTACGACAAGCATGGGTTACTGAAGGTTCATTCTAACCCGGACCTTTACGGGTATAATCACCAGTGACATGGGTACGGTGTAGCCTAAGTTTGTCGACCATGAAGTCATCGAAATGCGGTACAATTAACCACGTCTAAGATGTCAGTGATGTACCGTTGTCCATTCAGATTTTTTTTGATCGCCACAAGGTCAAGTTTACAATCATTTTGAAGGCATCCCCAAACCATCATTGAACACAAAAGTAAAATACCAGTAAAATACCTTTATAACGAAGTCCAAGGGACCACTGAAATTAGTTCGTTATATCCGTAGTTCGCTATTCACATTTTATATGATAATATAAGGTTTATTCGGGACTTTTAAGACAGTTCACTATAGCCGTCAGTTCGTTGTATCGTTCGTTGTAAACGTATTCTAGTTATAAAAGTAGTTGTATGGGTGTCAACTTCTTTATCATTCACCAGACGAAGGGGCAAGGAAAAGCTCATTAACGTTGTACATACAATAAAGTAGACATCCATAATATTTTGTTCTATACTTGAATACTTCCATATGCCTCTCACGAACCTCATTAGGTACATTTGTTTTTCACCAAATATTAAACACTCAAAGAAAATATACTCACCATGTGTGTTCTGCAGTTTCGTTAGACTAAGACAGACTGCTAGAGTGACCAGTGCACGAGCCGACATCGTTCGGCGTCCGCATCCACAATGTGAATGAGGAAGACAATCCTTTACTCAAAATTTTACACCAGTTGACAGGCGATACCAGGTTCACACTCTGCATACATAACACCCATCAACAGGATCTGGTTCACCAACATGAACATAAAGCTGACAAGGGATGTTAAATTTCACTATGAATAATTCATGAACAAATACCATCATGTATCATTCAACACGTTCAGTATTGATTAGCGTATACTGACATTATGTATGTCTAGTACGCAGTTTTATCTGAACGCTAATGCTATTGGACACTTCACTGTTTCTTGTTCAACCGTCAGTCGACCATTACTTCAGGTGATCAAGGTAACAGAGGCATGACGATACTCACGGAGACCAATGTCAGTACATGATAAGGGCGGTGGGTAGCCTAGTGGTTAAACAGTTCGCTCCTCGCGCCGAAGGCCCGGGTACGATTTCCACATGGGCACAATGTGTGAAGTCCATTTCTGGTGTCTCCCACCGTGATGTTGCTGGAATATTGCTAAAGAACCAGACTCACTCACTCAGTACACGATACATTTGACAAGTAGATTTAATGAAGGAGGCACGATGAAGTTAAGACATAAACGTTGTTGTTACAGTGTACGTCTTTAATCCCAGCAATATTCCGACTATATGGCAGCGATCTGTAGATATTCGAGCCTGTGAATATGCTCGAACACAATTGTCCAAAAATATTGAAGATACTATTTAAGTTTGTTTAGTAACGACTTTATTTTAACCTAAAGTAAATAAATAAATAAATAAATAAATAAATAGAGAAGACCGTTCATTTATGTGGTAAGAATCATCTGCAGTTCACTGGAAATTCAACTCAGCTAACAGTTTACTGTGTGACTCATAAGTTACTATCTCAGAATTTGCAAATTAAGTAAATGTGTTATACAAAACACAGATCTGTTGTCTCTGGTAACATTCATGATATCTGTAGACTAGAATTTAAATATACTCAACAATAAATTGGAAGTGAAAGTATAATTATTTCTACTGACGTCAGAAACGTCAAATCAACAAAAGACTTTGGAATGCAGAATCATTCAGTCATGAACAAAAGAAACCGACTTTCATCTGACCAGTGGACCTTTAACCGTGAAATCAAATTCAAGTGACATGAAACTTAAACTAAGATGATTGTGCTGCTTTGTGCTCTGAGAATAACAACGGACATCTAGAAGGTCGTTAGGCTCTATGCCCGACCTGGTTGTGCCATTTCGGACTAATCTGTTGGCCAAACGACGATATGGAAGTCGCTCTGTTTTTAACACATCATTTCATACAAACGAATTAAGTCTTGTGGTTCTTTCCTCCGTAGTAGCTGTCATTCGACTGCTAGTCGATGGACAACCAATATCTTTTGAAATAGCCCTCAACGACATGTCGGTATTTCTGAATACCAGTAACTTGCCATCTTTAAGCAGTTGTCAGTTGAGAAGGCTATATATTTGCTTACAAACAACATCAGTTGAGTTTACAAGTTATCGAGCTGTAAGAACAGTTTACTGAAACTAGTTTCGGATACACGTATTGCACGTGATGCTCGGCTTTGATAGTAACACTGACGTCAATGTATGGTGCGCCAAAATAATCATACAAACATTATTATGATTAGAATCATAGTTTTTTTTGCGATACTTTTTGTGTACATTAGATTATGATCAAAGACATCTGATTCATTAGAATGTTATTCATAAAGTTCTTGAAGTATGTTATTTTGGTTCATTTGTCCGTCATGAAAGGCCTATGACTCATATTTGGCATACTTCCAGAGACACACATGCTATGGACCGCCTCCGTGGTGTAGTGGTTAGAGCGTCCGCCTCGAGAGCGGAAGGTCGCGGGTTGGATCCCCGACCGCGTCATACCAAAAGAAGTCAAAATATGTTACTTGTTGGTCCCTGCCTGGCGCTCGGCATTAATGGGTACAACAAGGACTGGTCGGCTCGGAGTCTGGGCTAGTACAAGCAGCCGCACATACACATACACACGCATGCATGTCGTCATATGAGCGAAAAGTTCTCAAGCACGACGTTAAACCCAATTTCACCACACCTCACGCATATGCATGCTATGAGACGCTGACACATTTTAATGCCATTGTGTAGGAAATAGATACAAGGGAATTCAACACTTTCTGACATGTTTGATGCCGATGTCTTTTCGAGATTTTAAGATGTGTGAAAACAAATTTACTCGGACAACATATGGTGAGTGAGTATGGTTTTAGCACTTTTAGCAATATTCCAGCAATATCGCGACGGGGGGATATCGCAAATGAGTACCCAACCCATTTCCAATAAGTTTCCGGTTGCTGTGCTCGTCCTATTTTTGTTCTCATACGTCGGTTTCTAAAGTGAAAGAATAAGTGAAACTAGAAACATATCTCTAAAAGCAACAACCGATACAACTATAGTATATATTAAGTACGAAAAACTGAAAAGTGGTTGCAAAGGCAGAACACAAGAGAATGGCCTTACAAAATCTAACGGCAGAAGAAATATAATAACTCTGATAATGGCAGAAAAGTGAATGAAAAGTATACTCACATTGCTATAACAATGATCACGCTTCCAAAATAGGCGTGGGTTCGACATCCAGGGTGAAAATCTAAACATGTGTATTGCGAGATTATTGCCTTATGTAGTTTTAATACCTCCCAGAATGTTCTATACTATTCTGAATTAGTCTTTGCTGTTCTGGAAGATTTCACTCGACAACAAAAGTATATATGCAAATATTTCCACACCACTATTTACATTTATAAGTCTACATGCACATTCAAGACAACTACTGGCAAAGAAGGATAAGTTGAGCACCGACAGTAAATTATTGACCCGTGTTAGCATGTATGAGTGCCGCCCACTGGCGCTTGCCATTGTTAGCGACGGGGCCCCAGGTTGTCCGCGATCAAGTGCAGTGCGACTTGCTACACCGACGTGAGAGTCAGCAAGGCTTGTGTGGTTGCGCATTTCATCGTCATGCAATGCACGTGCACTAGCCGTCATCTACTTTACCTTTCACAAACCTAATGGGTTTGCTCATTGCCGTGCCCCGCCTACTTCTCGGAAAAACGCGTTCTGTGCGCCGGTCCAACTTATCCTTGTTTGCCAGTACTGTTAAAGCACAATGGCATGAACATATACTGAATCTAAACAGAAACAATCACATAACATACAAAATTGTTCAACAATGAATTATTTTGCTTTAAGAAAATGATATAGTATACTTTTATCTGGGATCAAAACTATCCAGCAAAAATGACTAAAAATGTTTGACAACGAACTGAAGATTCTTGAAGAGAATACTATACAGAATACCACGTTTGACGCCTAAGGTTGTTGGTCTTCCCAGATATTGATTAAACTCGGTAATGTTGCATCCATATGGTGGTGGTCTGTAAATAATCGAGTCTGGAGCTGACAATCAAGATCAAGTAAGTACCAACATCAACACCAACAACGAAAGGAAAATACTTGAGAACTTCATTTCAAATAATAATTTGTGCATGTTTAATGATGAATCAGCCACGTATTTACATTCTGGTTCAGAAACGTATTTTGCATTTGGTCTGTCACTTATTGATCCACATATTTATGAATATTTGAATTGTCAGTCCACGATGATCTGTGTGGAAGTCACCATTATTCCTAAACTATTTCCATCTAAACACCCGAATGATGAACCACCTGCAACAAGGAGAGGTATTCATAAAGCCATCTTGTCATTATTTCAGACACTTCTTACTGGCAAACTGAAATCTGTCGTTTGTTTCAATGCTCCAGAACTTGCTCAGTTCTTCTCGGATAAACTCAATAATATAGCTGATGAAACTGTTCCTAAGGTCTCTGCTAAACCACATATTCGTAAACCACGGTTTACTGACGATTGTAAACAGGCCAGGGAGTGTAGGAAGAAGACAGGGGAATGCTTTCGCTGCAATTCAACAATTCATAATATTAAAATATATATTTCTTAAGGTTGTAAAATCTTCGATTTGTTTGAAATATAAACAAATGGATACTTTCTTAACAGTGTGGAAAACACATCAGGCCGTTGAAATGTCATTATTACGTTCTTTAACGTCTGATACATTCTGTAACAAATGGCACATTTTTTTGTATTCAGATTGATAATATGGAAATCCAACAGCCTTTAAATGTCAGTGATTTGCGCGTGCAAGTCCCTCTATCCATGGAAAGTGGAGGACAATACACGTGCATTGATGGGTTTTTTCTGTGGTTCAAGTGTGCTGTTCAGTTACCTGTTTGAAATTGTGACCTTTTATTTTACACTGTTCAGTTACCTGCTTAAAATGTGACCTTTTATTTTGCGCTTGCTAAAAGGGTCAGGCTATAGGTCTTTTTTTATCTGGTCAAACTCAGGGGCAGGTTGCTGTCCGTGTTAATGTAAGTCAGAGTGTTATTGGTAGACTGTGGCAGAGATTGCAAAACCAAAGGGTCCGCTGAATATGGAGGTCGACCCAGAGTCAGAACAGTCCGATATGATAGGCACATTAACACTGCGTTATGAAACAGATTCCTAAGCGCAGCATATCTTCAGGCAGAACCCTTCAATGTTAACAATGTAAGGATATCCAGGAGCACCGTTCGTCGACCGTTTAAGGGCAGCCGGACTCCGCTGTAAGCGACCTGCAGTTCGTCCATCACTAACACCTCGTCACAGGTAGGCGCGTTTGTGATGAAGTAGACATCATGACCCTTGGAATCAACGTCAATAGTCTCGTGTGCTCTTCACAGATGAAATCAAATTCAACTTGTCCTTCCATGATGGTGGGCAGAGGATTTATCGTTGCAAAGGAGAGAGAATCACATCTGCAACTGTGGCCACGCAAAACCGATTTGGCTTGGGGTCGGCCATGGTTTGGGCAGGGATACCTCCTACTGGACGTACTCCACTGCACGTGGTTGACGGTAATCTTGCCGGACAGCGTTATCGAGACGAGATTCTGGCTCCCACAGCAGTACCATTCCTGCAAGCTATGCATGGCTTTTATGGTCGACCCTCTTTACTGCAAGACGACAACGCTTGGCCTCATAGGGCCAGGATTGTCACGGATCCCTTAGGCAGCAGGGTGTAGAGCGGATGGAGAGGCCAGCATGTTCGCCAGACCTAAACCCAATTGAGCATGCCTGGGATGAACTCGGTCAACGCGTGTTCATACGTTACCAGTGGATCCCGCAGCACTCCGCAGAGCTCTAGTAGAGGTATGGAATGCGATTCCGCAAGCTTTCTTTATGAACTTGCTAAGGAGCATGAGAACAAGGTGCACCTGTGTCGTGGACGCGCGAGGAGGGTGCACAAGATATTGAATGACCGAGTACTTCATGTTTGTCATTTTCATTTGGGGGCGTTGGTCTATATAACTGATGTTTAAACTCTTTGTCTGTATGTCACGATGTGTCACGTTTGTCAACACATGGAACATTATGATGACACTCTTAGTTCTATCATTTGTGAGAAACTTTTCTTTACATGTGCTATCTCCGTACATGATTTGACCCTTTATTAATGACGCCTAGAATATGTGCTCATGGTAGAGTCACAAACTGTACAATCGATTCTGCTTTTAGCAGAGATTTCTAATGAATGTGGAAAGAATTTTGTCGCGCCTATTATCATATTTGGACAACAGGACACGTTCCTCTGTCATGCCAATGTTGTTCCTATATTCATGTCTGGATGGGATGGACCCGTGAAGATCCGGGGTAGAATTGGTCTTCAGCAACCCATGCTTGTCACAACAGGCGACTATTCTTGTCGTAAGAGGCGACTAACGGGATCGAGTGGTCAGGCTCGCTGACTTGGTTGACACATGTCATCGGTTCCCAATTACGCAGATCGATGCTCATGCTGTTGATCACTGGCTTGTCGGGTCCAGACTCGATTATTTACAGACCGCCGCCATATAGCTGGAATATTGCTGAGTGTGGTGTGAAACTAAACTCACTCACTCACTCACTCTGGCTGGAATGATTTCATTGAACATTTGGTTTGGTTAGAATCTTTCATTAAAATTTCAACGGCATTTTAAATATTCAGCATGCTGTATCAATCTTGTTTTTAAAATAAATACTACATGGAAGATTAGTATTGTAAAATATTAAGATGCTGTCAGTTTGCCTTCTTTTATATCGTAGAGTTTAACAGACGATTGCCATTTTTTATCAACCGTGTCTGACCATAATTATCAGGATCCACAAGGCAGTATTTTGTCTGTCACTTTGTTGAATATGAAAATCAATAGTCTATCATAAGTATCAAATGACGGGATAGCTGGTGATTTGTTTGTGGATTATTGTAATACTTCATGTCGTGGTGAGACTATACATGCCATTGAAAGACAAGTACAGCTCTGTCTTAATAAAATTCGTAATTGTTCATTTGAGTATGGCTTTACATCTTCTCAGACCAAGAGAAAATGTGTATAATTTTGTTGAAACATTAAACCCTACAAAGACACTGACATGTTGTAGATGGTACTCCAAGTCAGATGATGAAGGTAGAAATGCGATATAAACGTTTTTCCAACATGCAATAAATGAAGACCAAATGACTAAAAAACTCATTTGACTTTGACTATGATTTGTTGAAAGTCGACCCAATTTGAATCGGGTAACCCTTCTCCGCTTATATAAGTTGCCAATACATTCTAACTTGGATTATGGCCCCTTGTTTTTGCTGATGCTGACAAGTGTAATCTTTTAAAACACCATATTGTCACTGCAAATATTGATTTTGATATGCCGGCTTTTAAACCTATTATAATTTGTTACATTCGAGATCTAATGCAAAAGAAGTGGGACACCTAAGTAATTTTTCATAGCTGCTCTAGCATGCATTGTATTTGTGTCCACTTGATGACTGTAAACATGGTAAAGAATTTACAGACAGTTATCCATGGTGTACATGGTCCAGGCATTACTTGCCACATAATTCTGCGGCACGACCTCGTAGGTTAGCAGACAGTTGGATTCGGTCGACGCAGTTTTGTTGTAGCTGAAGTCGATGCATGAATGATTTCGGTGACAATGGATGCCACATTCTCCTGCTGTTATGGCTGATGTAGTCATGGATGGGTTGGTCACCTTCCTCCCCGTCGTTGGCGTGTAGTAGGATCCTGGAGAGAAGATGAAACGGAGAGATTGAACGCATCTGTATTTCTAATCATTCTGTCCAATGTATATCTTTCCTTCAGTGAAATCGTGCAAAAATATTGCTCCCAAAAATGCCAGTTGTAAAAGAACATAACAGCAATTAGCAAAGAATATCAATATCAGCTGACATTGCAATGGATCCAGGTGCAGTGATCAGCAGCATGCATATCTATCTACGCGGTTTGGAGACAATGGCATGTGCCAACCAAGTCAGCAAGCCTATCCACCCAATCCCGTTCGTCGCCTCTTATGACAAGCATGGGTTGCTAAAGACCAATTCTAAGTGGGATCTTCACCAGTGTCAAGTCAACTATAAGCATCAGCTACAGTACCATAGGATACCGTACCACTACCACATTAGCACTCTCAGCACGACGATACATTGAACAAATGGTGTAAGGGACGTCTAGGTAAGTGGCATATTATTATGCGCACTGGCATGGAGAAAGTAACATCAGACATGAAGCTGTTTTGGACAACAAAGGTCAGTCACGATCTACAAGCAGAACACTCACGATATCGCTTCGTAGCCCCGACACCTTGAACATCAACATGTCCGATACTCAAACGGATGTTTTCTGTAGAACGCCTTGTGACACGGATGAAGCGAATGGGGAAAGTGGCATTGCAGATGAAGATGAATTTCTCTTTCTTGGTAACAGTGCTTGACACATTCCCACACCACTCCACCTGGGCGTCAGAGCAGAGGCTGACATTTTTGTCCATCACTTCCACGTAGGCATTTCTCATGTGTTGAACTGCAACGTATAAATAATACACAATAGGCGTGGGACATGGTGGGCGAGGTGTCTAAGGCGCCAGGCTTGTGATTCAGTGCGTTCGTTGTGACGGGATCGAGCCCACCTGTGACCGGGTGTAAAAACCTTGGAGTCAACTTTGTGTGCAGACTCTTTCAGTGTTTTCACAACCCCTAGTGTACAGTACACAACCTGTGCACTTAAAAGAACCAACGAATCGGTTGGTGAACGAACAGATGGTGGCGGCATGAATACACCCAAACACCAAGATACGGGTACAGCAACGTGCAGTAAAACTTAGAAAACGTACTGTGACTATGTGTCCCAGTCCACCCAGCTGTGAATGGGTACCTCGTAAGGATGGGAAGCCACATTAACTCGGTGCGCCTAGTGGCTGCAAGAGATGTATGATCCCCAGGGAGTTGAGATCATAATAATGTGCCCTGTGAGTTTGACATACAGTGATCGAGGGAAAATCGCCTTTGAGCAGCTGAGCTGGGTATTGGCGCTATAATAATAATCGACTTTCGCATGTTAAACAAGAAAGTAAATCAGTATTGCGTTTGTAACGAACATCATTTCCATATGAATGGTACACAATCGGCACAATCGACTTTCGTATATAACAAGAAAGTCAACCAGTATTGGGTTTGTAAGAAACATTATTTACCAATGCAAACCGTTTAATGACATTGATACAATATCTTTAAAAATCAGACATTGCAACTTCCCCTTCCAATATAACGCGTCATATAATATTTCACAGTAGCTAATTTCATGCTTGTTACGAACTAACGGCATATGCCTGCTTACGGTAATTTGTTAATATTTATGATATGTGTATTAAAATGTTAATTTGATATTATTACTATTTCAAAACTAAAATGATCACGTTTTGACGTACCTTTCGATATTCTGTGAGGTGCGTGTGAGCGTGACTGTGTGAGGGATGGTGGATGATGGATCTGTGATGTGTGATGGTTCATGTGTGATGTGTAACGGATGATGTGTGATGATTGATGTGTAATGTGTAATGGATGACGTGTGATGGTTGATGGGTGATGTGTGATGGTTGATATGTTATGTGTGTGATGTGTGATGGTTGATGTATGATGGGTGATGTGTGATTGATAATGGTTTATGGTTGATGTGTGATGTGTGAGAGGTGATGGATGAAGTGCGATGTGTGATAAGTGATGTGTGATGGTTGATGGGTTATATGTGATTGATAATGGTTTATGGTTGATGTGTGATGGTTGATGGTTGATGTGTGATGGTTGATGATTGATGTGTCATGGTTCATGTGTGATGTGTGATGTGTGATGCGTGATGTGTGATGGCTGATGTGTGATGGTTGGTGTGTCATGTGTGATGGTTGATGTGTGATGCGTGATGTATGAAGTGTGATGTGTGTTGCGTTATGTGTGATGGTTGATGTGTAATGTGTGATGTGTGAGAGTTGATATGTGACGGTTGATAGTTGATGTGTGATGTGTAATGCGTTATGTGTGATTGTTGATGTGTGATGGTTGATGTGTGAAGTGTGATGCTTGATGTGTGAGGGTTGGCGGTTGATGTGTGAGGGTTGGAGGTTGATGTGTGATGCGCGATATGTGAAGTGTGATGGTTGATGTGTGATGCGTGATGAGTGATGCGTGATGAGGGATTGTTGATGTGTGATGGTTGATGTGTGATGTGTGATATGTTATGATTGATGTGTGATTTTTGATGGTTGATGGTCGATGTGTTATGGTTGATGGTTGATGTATGATGTGTGATGGTTGATGTTTAATGTGTGGTGGTTGATATTTGATGCCTGATGTGTGATCGTTGATGTGTGATCGTTGATGTGTAATGGTTGATGTGTGATGTGTGATGTGAGATGTGTGATGTATGAAGGTTGATGTGTGATGGTTGGTGTATGATACGTGATGTGTGATGCGTGATTTGTAATGTCTGCTTGTTGATGTTTGATGCGTGATGAGTGATTTTGCAATGTTTGGTGCGTAATGTGTGCTTTCTTGATGTTTGATGGGTGATCTGTGATGTTTGATGCTTGATGAGTGATAGTTGATTTGTGATATCTGATGAGTGAAGTGTAATGTGTGCTTGTTGATGTTTGATGCTTGATGTGTGATGTTTGATGCGTTATGTGTGTGATGGTTGATGGTTGATGGTTGATGTGTGATTTGTGATGATTGATGTGTGATATTTGATGGTTGATGGTCGATGTGTGATGGACGATGTGTGATGTTTGGTGTGTGATGGTTGATGTGTGATGTTTGATGGTTGATGTGTGATGTTTAGTGCGTGATGTGTGATTATTGATGCGTGATGTGTGATCGTTCATTTGCATGCTTGATGTGTGATGCGTTATGCGGGATGGTGGATGTGTGATGGTGGATGTGTGATGTGTCATGCGTGATGTGTGATGTGTCATGCGTGATGGTTCATGGGTGATAGGTGATGTGTGATATGTGATGTTGATGTGTGATGTATGAGTGACGGTTTGTGTGTTGTGGGTGATGGACGATGTATGATGTATGATGTGTAATGTGTGTTCGTTTATGTGTGATGCGAGATGGTTGATGTGTAATGTGGGCTGGTTGATGTTTGATGCGTAATGTGTGATGATTGATGTGTGATCTTTGATGGTTGATGGTCGATGTGTGATGGACGATGTGTGATATGTCGTGTGTGTTGGTTGATGTGTGATATGTGATATGTGATGTGTGATGTTTGATGTGTGATGTGTGATTATTGATGCGTGATGCTTGATGTTTGATTTGTGATGGTTGATCTGTGATGTGTGTTGTGTTATGTGTGATGATTGACGTGTGCTGATTCATGTGTGATTTGTGATATTTGATGATTGAAGTGTTATGTGTGCTTGTTGATGTTTGATGAGTAAAGTGTGATGTTTGATGCGTGATGCGTGATCGTTCATGTGTGATGCTTGATTTGTGATGCGTTATGTGTGATGGTGGCTGTGTATGTGTGATGCGTTATGTGTGAACTGTGATGGTTGATGTGTGATGTGTGATGGCTGATGCGTGATGTGTGATAGTTGATGTGTGATCTGTGACGGTTGATGTGTGATGGTTGATGTGTGATGTGCGATGGTTGATGTGATGTGTGATGAGTGATGTGTTATGTTTGATGTGGGATGTGGGATGGTTGATGTATGATGAGCGGTGGGTGATATGTGATGGGTGTTGGGTTATAAGTGGTTGGTGATGCGGGATGTGTGATGTGTGATATATGATGTTCGATGTGTGATGTGTGATGTGTGATGGTGGATGTGTGATGTGTGATGGGTTATGTGTGATGGGCGGTGGGTGATTTGTGACGTGTGATCAGTGATTTGTGATGGGTAATGTGGGTTGTGTGATTTGTGATGTGCAATTGGGGACGGGCGGTGGGTGATGTGTGATGTGTGATTGGTGATGTGTGATGGTGGATGGGGGATGTGTGATGGTTGATGTGTTTTGGGTGATGGGCGTTGGGTGATTTGTGATGTGTGATGGGTGGTGTGATGGGTGGTATGTGATAAGGTGTTGGTGATGTGTGATGCGTGATTGGTGATATATGATGAGTGATGGTGGATGTGTGATGTGTAAAGGATGATGTGTGACGGGTGAGGGATGATGTGTAATGAGCGGCTGGTGATTTGTCATGTGTGATGTGTGATGTGTGATGGTTAATGTGTGATGGTTGATGGGTGATGTGTGATGTGTTATGTGCGATGCGTGATGGTTTATGGGTGATGGGCGTTGAGTGATTGGTGATGTGTGATTGGTGGTGTGTGATACTTGATGTGTGATGTGGAATGGGTGATATATGATGTGTGATGTGTGATGGTGGATGTGTAATGTGTGATGTGTGATCACCCATCAACCATCACACATCCCACATTAACCATCACACATCCCACATGACAAATAACCAACCGCTCATCACACATCATCCTTCACACATCACCTATCACGCATCACACATCATCCACCACTTATCACATACCACCTACCACACATCACAAATCACCCAACGCTCATCACACAACACACATCAACCATCACACATCCCCCATGAACCATCACACATAAAAAATCATACATCACACATCACCCACCGCCCGTCGCCAATCGCACATCACAAATCACAAATCACCCACCACCCATTACACATCACACATCCACCATCACACATCACAAATCACGCATCGCACATCACCCATTATACCCATCACCCATCACGCATCGCCCATAACACATCACACATCACCCATCAACCATCACACATCCCACATTAACCATCACACATCACACATGATAAATAACCCACCGTTAATCAAACATCATCCCTCACCAGTCACACATCATTCTTCACACATCACACATCCACCATCACACATCATACATCACCCATCACGCATCCCGTATCACCCATCACTTATAACCCAACGTCCATCACATATCACCCATCACCCATCACACATCACAAATCACAAATCACCCACCGCTCATCACAAAAAAACCATCACAAATCCCACATCAAACATCACACATAACCCATCACACATCACAAATCACCCACCGCTCATCACACATCAACCATCCCACATCCCACATCAAACATCACACATCACTCATCACACATCAACCATCACACATCAACCGTCACACATTACACATCACTCATCACGCATCACACCTCACAAACCAACCATCAACAATCACACATCACACATCAACCATCACACTTCACGCATCACACATCACACATCAACCTTCACACATCACACATCAACCATCACACATCAAACCGTCACACATCACACATCAACTATCAGCCATCAACCATTACACATCAGGCATCGCCAATCAACCATCAGCTATTACACATGACACATAAACCATCACACATCAACCACCACACATCAAACAACAGCGATCACATATTACACATCACACATCAACCATGACACATCAATCACCAAC